TGAATTTCATGCTCGCTGAAACACACTTAGGAGACAGCTCAGACTGAAGCAGCAATGTTTCTTTCAGAATTCCTCCTAAGTCGCCATTGAAACTTACCCAGGGGCCCAGCGCATTAGCCTAGCAGCTGAAGTCCTCGCCTTGAACATACCAGTTATGGGCATTGGCTCTTATCCTGGTGGCCCCAGTTTCCATCCTGCTCTTTGCTTGTGGCTAGGGAGAGCAAATGAGGATGGCCCAAAACCTTGGGATCCCACGCCCATGAGGGAAGAGGCTCTGGGCTCCTGGCTTCAGATTGGCTCAGTTCCGGCCATTACAGCCACTTGGGTCCTTGTGGATGGAACATCTCCTGAAAAAAAAACAGCTTACTCGGCTTTCTATCACTGATTGTGAACAAAGCATGATGAGAAGTCATGATTAGAAAATATTCTAGCTTACTTCTGTGTGTATTCTACAGCACACATGGCAGCTCGACTGCTTCCCTTCTGTCTTTTGTAAAGATCTTCAGATAATGACTGTTTTTTTCTTAGAAGAATCATTCACAAATTTGGCTGCTACTATTAGAGTTCTCCTAAATATTATGTCTGATAGGACTACCAATTTGAGAACATCTATTTTGTCAGTAAATATTAAAAGATAAGAATTGTATAGCTCTGTCGGTGCCACCTGCTTGTTCTTTCGGTTTCCCCTTGTCGGCGTGTTCATGTCACGATGCCCTTGTATTTCCTCTTAAGTTGCTTCTTTTCCTTTCATACGTTATTCCTCAGAAGGCTTCTTTTTTTGTAATTTTGCCTTGATGTTCTCTCCTTTCATTGCTATGCATTTTTATTTTTTGAAAGCTTCCTTTTTCTCCTGTTTTTTGTTTGTTTTGTTAAGATGTACTTACTCAAAAGACAGAGGGAGATTGGTCACAGTGGCCAAGCTGCAGTGGCAAGCCTGGGTCACTGGGTCTCCCTCGGGGTGGCGGGGATGGAGTACTTGCACCGGCATTGGGTGTCTCGGCAGGGAGCCGGATCCGAAGGGGAACTCAGCCAGCTGTGATGTGGGACTGCCTTCACCAGTGGCAGCTTCAGCCCTGGCCTCTGACCCCGCCCCTGACCCCGCCTCCGACCTGGCTTCCGACCCCGCCCCGCCTCTGACCCCGCCTCCCCACCCCTGATCCCGCCTCCGACCCCGCCTCCCCTGCCTCCGACCCCACCTCCCCTGCCTCCGACCCACCTCCGAAGTCACTTTTCAGCATTTGGGAAATTTTACCAGTTCTCCTTTTCTTTTTCCCCTCTGTATATCTGTGCTGTGGTTTTTCTCTCTTCTTGAATTATTTGGGGATTGGTTTTCTTCCTAATTTTAATATTGCTTCCTCATACATCATAAGATCATTTGATCCATTACACCACCATAGCTGGTGTTCATAATAATGAACTTGAATTAACAGGAAAATGTCAAGTTGTTATAAATGTATAAACTTTAGTGTTGGCCTAATATTTCTAATATATATATTTTTTAAAGTTTTGCTTATTTATTTGAAAGTCAGAGTTATGGAAAAGAGGTAGAGATCAATCCATCGATTGGTCAAAGCATCTTCCATCCACTGATTCACTCCTGGAGTGGCTGCAGCAGCTGGGAGTGGGTAAGACCAAAGCCAAAAGCCAGGGACTTCTTCCAGGTGCTCCCCGTGGGTAGCAGCCTCTCCAGCGCCTGAGCCATCTTCCTCTGCCCTTCCCAGGCCATTGACAGGGAGCTGGTTCAGAAGTGGAGCTGCCATGACCTGAACTAGTGCCCATATGGGATGCTAGCTTTGTCATAGTGCTGCAGTGCCTGATCCAATGCTGACCAATGGGTAGAAGATCTTTATCTTGAATAAGAAATTGACCCTTGTCTTCTAGTATCTCACTATCTATTGGGTAATTAGCATGTGAAAAGGTGAACAAAATGTGGCTTCTCTCTCTCTCTCTCTCTCTCTCTCTCTCTCTCTCTCTCTCTCTCTCGCTTGATGACAACACCTGAAAAATAATCTGAAAACCAAGACATCATTTTCCCCTAGGCTGGTCTGGAAAAATTTCGTATAAGATTTGACTGGAACTGGAGTTGAACATTGAGGCTTGGAAATAATTTTAAGAAGTAAAGAGGGGCAAAGATAGATCATTCCCAGCGGGAAGTCTGAAAGACATGTAACAAAAAATGAATAAATCGAATTGGCTGCAGCAGAAAGTTCATGTGAGGTAATAATGATAATATTTCTGGAAAAGTAGGTGAGAGTAGGATTGACAGAGCAGCTTGTTTGCTAGTCTACTGTTACACATTTGATTCAGGAGGGCAGGAGAATTTATTGATCTTTTCTCTTTAATTAGGGTAGTGACATGATAAAGCAGCCACCAGAAGAGGAATGTGACAGTGGTATGTAGCAAGGATTAGGTGGGAGCAAGTGCTGGCAAAATTCGTGATGGGAGTTTAAATTGCCACGTCCAGGAGTAGACTCCCACCCGCCTGACTGATGTGTTGATGTGAAGGATGGGGATACAATTTTTGACGAGAAGGAAGAACTCGTGGGAAAAGAAAGATGATATTTCTCTGCGGTGGGGGGTCATCCTGATGGAACTTTCCAGAGCTGGATTAAAGGAATGGGCTAGTGCTCAGGCCTCCATTAGGGAGAGTCAGCAAAGCATTAATATTGACTTTGCAATCGCTCCTCGGCCTTTTGGCTAAGATCAAGCGTAGTATTATTACTGACTTTGCAGGCACAGGGTAGAGAAGGAGTGCTCAGTGGCTGGTCCTTTCACACCAGCACTGTTGAGTCCTTCCTCAGAGAGCAAAGGCCCGTGTGTCTTTTCACATCTCCTACAGGCAAAGCTGCAAAATGAGCATGGGCCTGGTTGTTACAATACTAATTAACCCTTGGGAAAATAAAAAAAACCTAACACCACCCATTTGATGCAAAATGAAATCTTCAGGTATGGTTTTAAAAAACCCTGCCGTGAAGAGAGGGTCATCTGAAGTTCAGATATAAAGCCTTTTCTTCTCAGCCATGTTCCAGCCCTTCTGCTTTATTCCACTTTGATTTTGTGTAAGCCAAGCATCAGTAGTGTCTCTGAGACAGGTGATGGTATCTGCTTCTGTGGGTGCATTTCCTATTATTCCTTTGACATAACCTCATGTTAAAAATGGTTGCTTTTATTACTATAAACGCCCCCAGTGAGGATGCTAATTTAGTCAAAGAGTTTTGATAGGCTCATCTCTAGTTGTAATGCACAGATCATTTTTTTTTAAGTCACGCATGCTTAACTGGTTTTCTGTAGTTGTAAGTGGTTCGGTGCTACTTCCTGTTGAATTAGCAGTTGCTGAGTAGTTGAGTCTTTGTACGATCCTGCAATCCACTAATGCGATAGTTAATGAGAAGACATCAGTCTGGAGAAAGGTAGTCAATATAAATCAGTGTTTACAAAGTGTGATTAACTCTGAAATATTTCATCAATGCTGTGGTCCCAGGCAGACTCTATGCTAATTACTAATCACTGTGAATGTTTCAGGGGACTTGGCTGGACCCTGAGTACCGCGCACATGGAGCAGCAAAATTGCAATTATGCTCGGACCGTCTCTGATGACAATTTATGCATTTGGTGTGATGACCTCCCCCTTCCCAGGAGGACAATAAACAGAATGCATTTTCATTAAGATACTAATGCACTTAATCACAAGGGGGAAGGGTTAGGAAGTAACGAAAGGCCTCCGAGCACTGTGTGACGGAGTGGATGGGGAAGGAGGCTTTATTTGAAAGACAACTGCTTCACCAAACGGTAGCAGCTCCTAAATGTTTCCCGCACACCGGCATGGCGACTAACTGAAGCTGTTCGGAGATTCTGGTTATCCACTTTGCATGTCAGACATGGAGGTACTACCATGAACGGTGAAACGTCTAACAGTAAGAGTATGACTTCAACTAGATTTTCCAGTGCGTAGCGTTGTCACGGTGTTTGAGTGCTTGGCGTTAAATATGCAGATAATGGTGACCCTCAGTAACCGTCCACCCAGCACAGCACTGTGCTGCCAGGCTCCGGTGGCTGCTGCAGCAGTTCCTTCCATTCGTGTGCCTGCTCCCTAGGGACTCACCCCAGCCCCCAAATTAGACTGCTGAACATTTCCCAGTGAAGTTTAGGCTGCTGAATGTTACAGAGGCAATACACCTGATATACCAAAGCATTGAGAGTATATCTATATATAGGATCCATGATAATACAGCCCTTTTGTTGGCATTTTATGACCCATAATCCAACTAAATGTTTCTTTTAGGTCCTCAGATTCTGAGGGACTGATACTCTGCAATGATGGACTAAGTGTAGCATTTTTAGTCTTTCAAACAAAAAGATCCCAAAAGCTTCCACGTAGATTCGTTTTATAAAAGAACAGAATGATCTTAAGGGTTGCCTCCGTGGTGTGGCAGGCTAAGCCTCCTCGTACAGTGCCAACATCCCATGTTGGTGCCAGTCTGAGTTCTGACTGCTCCACTTCTCATGTGATTACTTGCTAAGATGCCTGTTCTTGTTACCCATGTACCTATGTGGGAGACTTTGAAAGACTCTCTGTGTTCCTGGCTTTGGGCAGGCCTAGCTCCTGCAGCTGCAACCATTTGGGGAGTGAACTAGCAGATGGAAAAAAAAATCTTTCTTATTTCTATAAATCTGCCTTTAAATAATAACTAAGTAGTTACATGGATAAATCTTTTTAAAATTCATGTAAAATCTTCAGAGGAGCTTCTTCATGTGTGTCCTCATTGCTGGCTGCATTTTCAGAGGTTGTGGACCAGCATCCATATCCAGCTCCGAGGCAGTTCTCACATTCTCTGTCTCTCCTGGGACTGGCGCAGGTGGGTTAGAGCCTGCGGAGCCGGGCTGCAGTGACAGAGTGCCCGCTGCCTTGGAGGTGCTAGTCCGTCCTGGGTCTTGTCCTGAGTCTCGTCCTGGGTCTCCTCCTGAGTCTCACAGCTGCTTTTCCTCACACTCTGTTTTAGGTAATATAGAATACAGCTGCCCTGCCACAAACGAGTGCGAAATCACGAAGCGCAGACGTAAATCCTGCCAGGCTTGCCGCTTCATGAAGTGTTTGAAAGTGGGCATGCTCAAAGAAGGTAAGGCGCTCTGCGAGTGTCTCCGCTTTCACATGGGGGCGGGAGGGGACGGGAGGGGCGCAGAGGGTGCTTGGCATGGCAGGGAGACACATCAGAGAAACCAGAAAGAGATGGGGTGACAGTGAGTACCCAGCATCCAATGGGGTGGTGCTTCTTTGCCCTGAACTTCGCGAGTCCCCGTGGCCAACTGCTTGACACACACAAAAGGGAACCAGTAGGGCGTATCTGAGGTGCGGTTCAGTCCAGCAGGTGCGCTTGCCTCTTCTGCTCTTGCCTCTACCATTAGTGGAAGGCAAGGCCAGATGCTACTGCTGTTGCCTTTTTGTCCTTTTTCTCATTTATTGCTAGTTTCACAGAGAGACTTATTTTTCAAATCTTAACATTAGGTTTAAAACACTCTCCACCCATTTCCAACCTTAATACTTGTACTTATTTTTAATAATAAAGACCTTGCTATAAAATATTAAAATTGTCTCCCACTGGGGATAATAGGAGTAAATACAAAATAATAACAGTAGGCTTATGCTCTCTCTAACCAGAAGCCTAAGTCACATAGTTAATAAGAGGTGAAACCACGAACGGAACTTACTGATTTTAGATGCTCCTCAATTATTCCACACATGAAGGTTCTAAATTGTTCATTTAAGCATATCTGGTGTAACTAACATATCAGCTTACAAATGGAGAAAATTTGCTCATTTTTTGAGGGAAATTTACCACTTACTTTTAGGTGTTTTAGGTTTTTTTTTTTTGAACGGGATGTGGGTGTGTATGAAAGTGTGAAATTTACACATTGCGTTTAGATTTTTATTTCCTTCTCATTACAGATTTTACCAGAGTTTAGAAATATATATGAACAACAGAACAAAAATATCGTAATCAGATTCTGAAAGAAAATTAGGTTAATTAAATGCTGAAATGTGTTGTTTCTGTTGCCTGGTATGGATGGGTTTGGTTCCTGGGGCTGGTCTTATCAGTTTGTATATTTTATTGCTACTGGAAAGCCCCTATTCTAAATTTCTGAACCTGGATAGATTCATGTATTACTTCCCCAAGAATGAGCCAGAGGCTTGCGGTTGGGGATGTCGTTGCTCGATCTAACACTTTTGCTTGGCTTATTCTAAGATTGTTGCCATGTGCAAAGTTACGGAGTGATGAGTAGATCAGACGGTATTTGTGTGCATGGAACTCATGTGGGATTCCTCTGCCTCGCACCTGTCTGGTCAAAAGAAGAGCCCAGTTTCTTCTCCTCTTCAGCTTGGCTTCTCACCTTGAAAAAGAACTGTATACAAAGGGGTGTAGAACTTCATAATTAAAGTCTTACGAAAAGATGACCAAGATGTACTGCGAATTATAAAGTAAAAAAGATGTCTACTAGTATGATTTCACACACACACACAACTTATTCACACACTAGAAGATTTTAAAAGATCGTGGAAAAGAAGTTTAAAAGATAATCTGATGCAAACAAATGCTGGAATCTATGCATAGTTTCTTTATAACATTTATTGTTATGAGCTGTCTGATGGCCCCCTCTGTGCATGGGTTTTACATAGTTTCTGCACCCAGAAGAAGCCTATCCTTTACTTCCATTTTCCATGAGCTTTTGGAAAGTCGTGTGTGTGTATGTGTCTGTGTGTGTGTGTAAGAGAAAGAGAGAGAACAGAGCAAAGAATGGTAGAAGGTTAACACACACGTACTATTAATTATGTTTCCAAAGAAGTAGGAGGAAGGATACATGAAGATTTGTGATATGGTTTTACCTGTGCAATGGCCAGGAGTATGGGGGATACTTTTACTGTATAGGCTTTGGTTAAGTTGGGATTTTTCAATCAGTATGTTTTATCTTCATAAATGTTTTTTTTTTTTTTGAGGTCATTCCACATGCCAGACTCTCTTGCTAGAGAAAACCTAACTAAAAACATCAGGTGGACATTTTTTGATTAAATTCAACAAGATCCAAGCAGTAAAACACAACAAAAAAGTTTTTTTTTTTCTTTTCCTCTTTCTTTAAAATTTTATTTATCTATTTGAATGATAGAGTTACAGAGAGAGACAGGGAGAAACAGCAATCTCCCACCTGCTAGCTTGTTCCCCAAATGGCTGCCAAGGCCACAGGTGGGCACTCCGAACCCAGGGAGCAGGGGCTTCTTTCAGGTTTGCCATGTGGGTGAAAGGGCCCAAGAACTTAAGTTATATTCCACTGCATTTCCAGGCACATTAGCAGGGACCTGGATCAGAAGTGGAGAAGCTGGGGCTCTTGGGGGTACTGGCATCGCAGGCCATAGCTTTACCTGCTATGCCACCATGCCAGCCTCAACTTTTCTTTTTCAGTTTGGACGATAGTTATAACTTACTTCGTGGAAGTAGAAAGCTTTATCTTAGCAATTGTCTTCAGCCCGAAACAGAAACAAACAAAAGAATGTAGCAAGCGATCAGCTGTCACTTTCCTGGCTTGTAATTATACTGCCACTTTGGTGGGCCGTAGAAACTGTAGCTAAACTTTGCACTCCTTCCTAGATTTATTAAGAATAGTTTCAAACCCTTAAAAGTTCAGGAATCATTTTCCAAAAGCAAATCAATATTTTAAAAACATCATAAAAGTGTTATATCAGTGAACACTTCGTGTTGATGTGTTCTAGATTAGAACATTATTTTCAGAAACTAAATATGAAGATATGCCTTTATTTCTAGTCAGGCAGGATTTTTTGATGAGTTTGGTTGTATTACTATAATTTATTCAACTGTTTGTCCTGCCAAGTTTCAGAAGCCAGAGGGGAAAAAAGTCTTCCCTTAAATAAAGGCCTCCTTGTGGTTTCTAGCAGGAGCGATACCGAATGGGGGTGGTAAGAGTGGATGAAGAGGTGTGAACTATGTTTAATTAAACATTGTTGGTGAAAGTAAATGGGGCAGTGCTTATCTATAATTCACACCTCTTCAGTTGCTGCTATCAAGCCGTTAGAGGATCTGTTTTCAAGGGAATTGCTGCTGTTGCTGAGATACTCAAATAATAATTTATTTTCCATTACTCCCTTATATCCACTTGAATGGGAATCCAGTTCTCTAAGCTTGTCCTGCTTCACATAGAAAGAATGGGTTAGATATGAGTAAATATAGAGTATTCTTCTTCCTTTGTACTTAAAAAATGCGGTGAAATATTGCATTACACCCTGCATATAAATGCACCATTATGTGTGGCCATCTCCTTGGCTCAAGACTTCCTTTCAGGGCCTGGAGAGAATGATACTGTCTTAAATGTATCTTTATGGATGGAGAGGGATTTCAGTCCTGTGCAGTATGTCAGAGATCATGATGTAGTAAATCTATTCAAATGTAAACCTGTTCAATTCAATTACCAGTTCATAATACAATTTGCTGCTACAACCCCCATGTTGACCACAGCAGTCCATACAGGCTGATGGCACAGCAGGTCTGGAAATTTACAGACAAAAATCTATTTACACCAACAAACAGCATTAATTCTGGAATCTGAAATGAAATCAAATTTCCACAGCTTTGATAGGAACCATCTTTCCTTTAACAGGTATTTTTATTCAACTAACCAAGTGTATTTTAGTGTCACCTAAGGGAAATGAAGAAGCTTTCATTAAGTAAGTGATTTATAGGAAAATGAGACTCTGACTCTTTGAGAAAATAGTAATCCTTAGTTTTGTGGGCTTGAATTTCTGCTAAATGAGGCATATGGCTTTCAAAGATATATGACTGTAGGTGGGAATGTGAAAGGGAAACAGCGGCTTAGTGGGTAAATACTTCTAGTTGCATTACACTGTGAATAATACGTTCTTGCAAGACACACTTTCTCATTCATTAGCACCAGAGTGGTATCCAGTAAGGGTTTTTTAATTTTTCTAAATTTTAAAATTTTATCTATTATTATTATTATTGTTATTATTATTGCTGGTTGCTGGTTCGTTTCCCAGGCCTCAGTAGCCTAGTCTAGGCCAGGCCAAAGTCACGAGCCAGAAACTGAATCCACATGGGTAGTTGGGATCCAACTAATTCAGGCATTACCTGCTCCCTCCTAGAGTACACAGAATGGGGAGGCTGACATTGGGAGCCAGAGCTGAAACTTGAACCCAGGCCCTCTGGTATGAAATGCATACCTCCCACACAGCATCTTAACCATTTGGGGGAAAAAAAATGCTTTTTAGAGTTTGTGGATCCAAGAATTATTACCAGTTGAAATAAAAGAGGCGAAGAGAAAGAAACAGATTGTTGTGTTGGAGAAAGCAACAGAATGTCACACCATAGCAAAACTTTGAGAAGTGCTGTTAAACGAGTGATATTTGGCTCAACCCAACTGGTGCTACCACTAAGGGTCCTGAAAAATCCTCTTCATCTTTCTTTCTGCCCAAGTTTGCTGGTAAACGTCACGAATGATGGGACAGTATTATTTTTTCAACATTATACCATACCGCATGTCAGGGAAAACCCATCTATTACGTGGTATCTCGTCCCAACATTCGCTTTTCATTTTTTTTCAGGTATTGTTTATTTGAAGGAAAAAATGGGAACTAATCAAAGGGCACCTATAAATCTCGTCAAGACTTATTTTTATTTTGATCTTTCTCCTTGGTTATTTAAAGGCTCTTGCAGGATGTAGTGGTTCAGTTTTCTCTGTCACTGGCAAACAGATACATTGCATGACAGCGATAACTGTTTTTATGTAGGTAAGAATCCACTGATCAAGGGAATGAAGAATGTTCTTATGTTTATTGACACAAAGGACTTAATCTTGGCAAATCAGGTGTTTTTCTTGTGCTCTGTTAGGTGAACAAAAGACCCATAGTAACACATAACACTATATTCTGCCCAGATCAGCCTCCGCACCAGAGTGCATTGCCAGAGTGTAAACAGATCTGGCAGAACACAGAACTGGCTTAGTTATATCATGCCAAGAAAGTGTGCTACATACTTCATCTTAGAACAAAATGCGGTTACTTAAACTTTGTAATCTTCAATCTTATCACCTGCAGAGT